CGATTTCAATAGGAAATGACGAAATGACATTTTAAAGGTTGATCGTCAGATAATCGTGACTGCGAGGAAATAAAAGAGTTGTAGGAGTCAACTGAGGTCAAACATTTCGGAAATAAAGTTAACTTTTATTTATGTTCCCGCTCAGCTCAAGTGCTCTTAAGTTGAATTGCGTGACTTTTACATCTACAGTTTATTTTGAGCTTAGAATTAAAGCATGCAATGTTTGTTTATACAGAATTTCTTGATCACAATGATTTGAAGATAAACAGTGAACTGCCATAAACCTAAGCACGTTTAGACATTATAGCTAAAATTTATTTTATCCTTGTTTTGCATTTTGGCCAAAAAACATAATTAGTAACTGTCCTTTCAGAAACGTTCAAACGTTCTTAAATTGCGCAAATTTAAGAACGTTTGAACGTTTGAACGTTTGAATTACAAAACCTTTCCATTTATATTCCAGAAGCTTGAAAGGATGCTAATTTTGGAGACATATGCATGATACACGACAAGCATATTTTAAAGTGTTCTAATTGCTTCATACTAGAGTTAAAATCTTTTAGAATAAGACGGAAGACGCCAACGTTTTGTTGACATACAACAAATTGTGTGTCTGCGTCATAATTAGTGCGTAATGATTGCAAGGAACACAGATGGGTTTGGACGGAATATTTAACAAGTTACATCAGAAATTATTTTAGGTTCGTTGAAAATTGATGTCAGTTGAATCTTAAAAAAATAAGGGAAGCAATAATGATTGCTTGCCTGTGTAGAAACACCAAATAAAACAAACTTAAATATGTATTGAACTTATGTATGCGCCGATCTGAATGGCAGCACTTTTCAGAGCTCCTCCAAGTTTTATAGTTTTATCTAAGTTTTATTCCGAAGTAAGTTTTAACAAGGTCAACATGAGTTCCTTACGTCTTTGGCCTCGTTATAGAGGTGTGCGTGCTGGTCGTCTTGTTCAAGAGCGTTGCAAACTTCGCCGTCTTAAAATAAGCACGATTCAGAAGCGAGGTGTCGACAATGGCTTTGGAAAACCATCTTGGCGTGTTTCCCACCAAGCCCACAATCCGTCAAACTCTGTTCGTCTGACATGAACTTCAATCTCAACAAGGAAAGGCTCTCCATCTGCCTACGTTCCATATTTATCGAACGTTATGTCCCTTGCTCCCAAGATTGATGAAATCCGCTACGTTGCCCAACATGCAAATTTGGATTGTGTTTGTATAACTGAATCATGGCTTCGTAGTTATATTCAAGATAACATTGTCGCGCTCAGTGGCTTCAATCTAGTGCGAAAGGACAGAGTTTAAATTACTCATGGAGGGATTTGCGTATACATTAGAAACAATATCAACTTTACTATCCTGGAAGATTTAGAAGACCGATCTTTTGAAGCGCTTTGGTTAAAATTACGACCTGCTCGTCTCCCGAGGGGATTCAGTTGTATTGTGTTAGGAATAATTTATCATCCACCAAACGACAATAACCCCGAAATTTTATATTATTTGTGGCAGAGTTTGTCGTCCATTGAATTGCGCTTTCCCAACAGTGGTCTGCTTATTGTTGGAGATTTCAATCGGCTAAACACCAAGCGTCTTCAGAACAGTTTTGATCTAAAAGAGATTGCCAAGTTTCCCACGCGAGGCCATAAAATACTGGACCTTGTCCTAACGAATGTGAGAGAGTACTACAAGGACCCCATCCAACGTCCTCCCCACGGTCTATCAGATCACATGTCCGTAGAGGTACTGCCAAAGGATAGTTCCCAGCTTCCGGACTCGCGATCAACAATGAAAACAAGGGACTTAAAACCTAGCAATCGCCTTGCTATACGCACCTACCTCCAAGAGGTCGATGCGTACACCCTCGTCGGCAACGTACATGGCTGTGCAGAAAAAGTGTCAATTTTTCAGTCAATAATCCAACATGGTCTGGACAGTGTACTGCCCCTGCGATCCAAAGCGATCCACTCTAGAGATCCGCCCTGGATTAATTCAGGTTTGAAAGATCTAATCAGACGGCGGCAAAGAGCACTCGCAGAAATAATCAGCCGATGTTTCGATTTCTGCGGAACCGAGTGAGCCGTGAGCGTAAGATCTGCAGGTGGCGGTACTACGACTCCAAAGGTAGCCAGCTTAAGGAGTTCAAACCGTCTGTTTGGTGGAGTGGAGTTAAGAAACTGAGCGGCATGTCATCGACCGTTAGGGACTCGGAAGAATTAATGAGATCATTACAACAAATAAGTGAGGAGTCTCTCAGTGCCTTGGACCTGGCCAACCTGATCAGTGATACTTTCCTCTCCCCAGTGCAAGACTTTACACCGTTATCTGCTGAATCTTTTCAGCTGTCGCAAGACCACTCCATTGAGCAACCATTTGTCGTTTCTACGCATGCTGTTTACCTTCAGCTTGTGTCGATCAACCCTAGGAAAGCGTCTGGCTCCGACGGTATTCCAGCATGATTGCTAAAGGAAAATGCAGATCTCCTTTCCGATACGATATCTGATATCATTAACAGTTCTTTTGCTGAAAGACGTTTACCACCTTCTTGGAAATCTGCTGATACCTTGCCGATCCCAAAGCAGAAACCAATTAAAGACGTAAATAAACATCTGCGTCCCATCTCGTTAACGTCCATTCTCTCTAAGGTGGCAGAGGAGTTTGTTGTTGCGGAATACTTACGACCATCAATTCTCAAGAAAATTGGAGACAACCAATTTGGGGATAACCCAAAATCTTCTACAACACATGCATTAATCAGTCTGGTGCACTTCTGGGCCAAACATACAGACGGGACAGGATCCACCGTCAGGGTCGTCTTATTCGATTACCGGAAAGCTTTTGACTTGATAGACCACGCGCTTCTCGCTGGGAAACTGCTCGCCTTGGACATACCGGTTGGCGCATCGTTCTGGATCATCGACTTCCTTACAGACCGTACGCAGAGAGTCAAATTGGGAGAAGATTGCCTGTCCGAATGGAGGAATGTACCGGCAGGGGTGCCTCAGGGAACCAAGCTCGGGCCGTGGCTGTTTATTCTTATGAATATTCTTATGAATTATGATCGACGACATCAACACCAGCAATTCGAATCTGTGGAAATACGTGGATGACACAACTATTGCAGAGTGTGTTCACAAGAAAGAAGGCAGTCGTATTCAATCTGATGTGGAGGAACTCATTGCTAAGTCTAATCAAAATACGTTCCAGCTAAATGAATCGAAATGTAAGGAGCTGCGGATTTCTTTCGCTAAATCAGCCGCGGACTTTGCTCCAATTGTCATCAACGGGAAAGCAATAGAGGTAGTGTCTACTGTTAAGTGGTTGGGGCTAAACATTTCTTCCGACCTTTGGTGGAACTGTCATGTTGCTTAAATAAGTAAAAAAGTTGCAAGTCGATTATATTTTCTTAAACAACTGAAGAGAGCGAATATTCCCACCAAAGATCTGCTAATCTTTTACAGGACTTGTATCCTCCCAGTAATGGACTACGCATGCCCGGTGTTTCACATTGCGCTTCCTGCATATTTATCTGTTGAGTTAGAGCAGCTACAGAAACGTGCCATGCGAATTATTTTTCCGTTTGTTCCATATAGCGACGCATTAAATCAAGCCAACTTGGAGACGCTCTCCCAACGCAGGCAGTGTATCACAGCTAAGCTTTTTGATTCCATCACCTGTAACTCAGACCATAAACTGTATAAGCTCCTGCCTCCTCAGAACAACTGTGAACTCAATTTGAGACGAAAGAGGAAATTTAATGTTCCTCTGGCTAAGACGAAGAGACTCATGAATACATTCATATATAGTAATTGTAGTTAATCTGTGTACATTTTTCTTATACTTTTCTCATACTTTTATTAGATTTTACTATTGTAACGATTAATCTAATTCAGCTTTTGGCTGCGATTTTAATCAGAATAAACTATCTACATCTACATCTACATCTAAATAATTAATTAATGAAGGATGAAGAAAATTGAAATGAATCTCAGATGATAAACTTGAAAAATTTTTGCTGTTCTGTATAATGTGCAAATTACGAGCTTTAAGTGTGGAGGGGACCAAAAGTACTACTCTAGTGAGATAGAAAAACACCAAAACGAGATCAATTAACTCAAAACAAACGAGGATGAGGAAGGATGGAGAGGATTGCCATGGATTTTAAATCAGTGTTGAGCTTGAAACAGCTGACTTTTATAATTTCGCGTCAAGAAAACCAAAAAAAATGATTTTGGTATGACGGGAAAATAACAAAATCGAAGAGAGTTTCCCAAAAGCGAACGAGTATTGTTTAGGATGGAGAAGATTTAAATGGATTGGAAATAGCTAACTTGAAAAATAAGCCAAATGTGATAGATGCTCATATCATAACAATGCCTCTTTAAAGCATATTTGAAAGACTGAGTCAGGCCGCCCACTCTAACTACTTGTAAATTAAGATTAAATGGTCACGACCAAACAATGGTTAAAAAGCCGTTTGATGGCAGCCTTTACGAAGACTTTTTATCGGCGGCTTAACTCGAGACTTACGACATGAATCGAACAACCACAGACCTTGTAGTTTGATTTTAACAATATCTGTTCAACGTTCATGCAAATGACAAACTGTAATACTATGCATTTGCCGTCTGCTTCTTGACTGTTCATGCAAAGATATTGACGATTGCTATATTTTGCTATTTTTTTGTCTTAATTTTATCCTCTCTCGGTATCAATCAATCAGAGGTTGGCTTTCATCTTCTGTGATGTGATAAATGTCAATGCCAAAATTAAAGCTATCAACTATTATTTAGGACATGATCTGTGCTACGTAAGAGGAACTGCAGTCCAACTTAGACGACTTGCAGTCTTATGGTCATCTTAGTGCTTTGTTTTCCACCTTTGGTTTGATTTGGTTTTATATCGCTAACAATACTGAATATAACCTAGTGCTGTGTTTCGAAAATGCTCAAAATCAGTGCTACGTGAGAGAAACTACTATTCAGCGCCTTAAAAGTCTCGAGGTCTTATTTTCATCTGAGAGCTCTTCAATGAGTAACGAACACCTCGAAAATGTTGCCAAATATTGCCTTCGCCATGATCAGGGTTATGCCCACGTATGTAAGGACCATTCAAAAAAGCCGTGTGACACCACTTAAACCACCAGCCACCTTGGTACTCAAGGGCACAGTTCCCAGTGGGTTTGAAATCGTTCTCTTCATCCGGAGTAGAAAATGGCCAGCCACGATGGTAAGAGAAGGAGTCACCAGCGGTTCCTGAGAAATTTACCAAAGCAAAAACCAGGAAAGTATTTAAAAAGTTGTACTCTCTTAAGTGGCGGATCCAGACCTTGCGCTAGGGAAGGGGAGGATGGGGAGGTTTTCTGTCGCTTGCCCTACCGGCTTCTCTTCCCTCTGCGATTCCTTTTTTTTTTTACCCAAAATAAGGAAGGGAGAAGCGGATTGGGTCCCCCGGGCCTCTCCCCTAGATCCGCCACTGCTCTTGCAAGAGTAGGTTTAATTGCCACATATTCGCTATTCTGGGCCGGGTTGTTCGAAAAGGGGTTGACTTTAATCCTGGTTTAAAAGTTAACCTTGGATTTAATTTCTTATGTAGAAGAGCGTGTACAGGAGCCAAGGTTTTGTTGGGTTTTATCTCAGTATGACTCAAAACTAACAGGGAAAAATGCAAACAAATAAATCCCTTTGCAGAGCTATAAAACTGAATTAAAAATTCACACTAACCCCTGGTTAGGTAAACCTTGTTTTGAAAAACCAGGCCCTGTATAATAACATTTACGTTTTTACCCTTCCTTTCGCGCTTATGAAGTCTTTTCTGCATCCACGCTTGTTTGGGCTTGATTTGCCACAAAAAATGTGCATATAGTTACCAAAATGGCTTCGAGTACACAATGAAAGTAAGTGGCGATAAGAAGGAAGTAAGAAATGGAATCAGAAGACGAGACCGACAGGGTTAATAACATATCTTAATTATACTCCTCTCAAGAACCAGAACCCTTCAAACACTATTTTATCAACAAAAGGCTGGGAAAAGGGACAAAAATTCCCTTAGATATCATCTAAATCATTTACTAAATGATTAACCATTATCGAATTTCGTTTTACGTGAACAGTTTTTAACCGCTGGGCTTAGTATTTTCTTAACTTTCTTAACAATGTCCTATCTCTTATTCAATTACTTTACTAACATTTCTGTCTTTGTTTGTGTTAAAATTGTTGTTTTTGTCTCCGGTCATCGCATTGAAGCAAGCCTTGGAATTACACAATGCGCATGTAAATTAGTTTAGTCACCTGATGTGTCATAACAACCAAGGATCAACCGGTACTTGTCATGTTCACTCCTGACACCAAAAGAGCTGTATTCGGCATAAGCACTTCTCCCTTCGAAGTCCACCATGTCTACTCGTAACATGCTGTTATTATCTGAAGTCAGGCGATGAATCCTGTCCAAGCCAAGCCAAAACTCGCCTCTAAGATTTCCGAAGCCACGCTTATAATCGCTCCAGTTGAGGTTGAAGTCAACGGAACCGTCGATTCTTTTCTGGAATACCGTCCATCCTCCACCAGCTGTTGTTTGGTCGCAGAAGACATTAAAAGCTGATTGGTTGTCAGGTTTGATGATGTACACACCGTCTCTTTTTTGGCCTGATTTAAAGATGTCAGCGCAATTTCTGAAAGCTAGAATAAATAAATAAATAAAAAATTATGGCGTATATTATGCTGCAAACGACAAGGTATTGACTGGATCAGAACAGTATCTTCACTGATGAGAGCAAAAAAAAATGGTAAATTCAGACACAGCAGTTTTTTCAAACGATATCGATTCGAAAGAATTGTAATTTAGAAAAGGTGATGAAAAAATAGCCAAAATAGGAAAATTTGGGAAGAAACGAGACACACATTACTCAAGATAAAATCATTAATAATAATTAATAATTTAGGTTACGCTCTAACGCAGAGCTGATGAACGAAACGTCAGCTTTAAAACTCTTTACGAAGGCCAACTTTTACGTTATCAACTCAGTTGATTATACTTTATTACCCTGTTATACTCTCCATCCGACGCAGCACAACAGTCTCTTCAAAACTTACTGCATTTACTCATTAGGTTTGAAAGAGTTTATGTTGCAATTTTTGACCACATCATCACCTTTACAATACCTTGGCAGACTTCTCCTCCGCTGAATTCTTCTGGACAGATACACCGAAAACCTTTACTTGTGAAACCAGCTTGGCAGGTGCCTCCATTTAAACATGGGCCGCTATCACAAGGGTTCTAATCAATAGCAAATATAAAACAAAGCACGTTCCGCTATAAAGTACCATTAAACTTATAACCAAAGTTGTCATGATAACATCTCCAAACTCTAAAATAAGGAAAATTTAATGGAGGCGTTAAGAATTTTTTTAAAATTCTTCGCAAGCAAATTTCGTGCCTGATTGATAAGGAGATGCAAGTTTCGTGGGCAAATAACAGCGTGTTGCGATACAAAATCCACGCAATTCCAAATTACTTAAACACTTTATTGAAATCACCTAGTAATCTTATCTTAAATCTTGTCACCATATTTACGTATAAATATTTTCACATCAATTTTTAACTTTAAAAATACTTTGAAGGAATCACTATAAGCCTCGGTGAAGGAAGATTAATCCTTAGGGTTTTTTTATTTTTCATCCACCGTGCTTAAGGTTCGTGCAAGAACCTAAAGGATGTGATTTGAGCTACCTGTTATTGAAGTACGCTTTGGTTACCATAATTATATGGAAGATAAACAGGTCCACAAATGCATCCTTCGAAGACAAAGAGCTTATCTGTACTCAGGTACCACAAAACAGCCCAGAAAGATAAATCAAATGTGCTCGTTACCTCAATGGCAAGGTACGTAAAACCTTGCACATTAGCGAGACTTTTGTCAGTTGCATTGTTTAACTGGCATATGTGTTTTCCTTGGATAAATGGTCCCAGATTGATGGACACGCAGTCGGGGTCCATATAACACAACACACGACAGCTCCCCTCATTAGGCACATCCTCAGTTTTGATTAAATGATTCTTCATTTTCTTATTCGGGATTGGATCTTTGAACACGATAATGCGAAATTCGTCATCTGTGGAAAGCAAATAAAATTTTTTATGTGGCTCTCTTCAAGATAAAGAGCATTTCGATTACTTTTTTATCAATTTTTATTCAATGCTTGCTCTTTGTAAATTAACTTTATCCATTTAGGTTTAAGGTCTTTACTTAGGATTCCATGGAATCGTATTTATGGGAGTTCGACAAATTTACGGAAAAAGGGCTATTTCTTCTTCAAATTACATATCTTCCGAAAGTTTTGTATCTAACTTAGTTAAATTGAATCCTTACAGTTATCAGAATTGAGAAACAATATGTAAAAGGTAACTTCAAAAATATAATATCAGTAATGGAGAGATGATTCCTCGAAAAAAAATGGCCTAAGATGAAAATGGTATGAAGGCAGTAAGTTTTGACTTTAGTTACAAGTTTACAGATGGAAAGTTTATAACAAGTTACAAGTTTATTACAAGTTTGAAAAAAAAAAAAAGATATATACTGCTCGCAGTTAGTTATAGCTAGTCGAGCCTTTATGCATGGAAAAATTATCTGCAATTAAGAGATATCTTAAGACAATAGAAAGATAAAATAACGAGATATTCTTACCCAAACAGCAAATACACCTAGAGAAGAAAGTTCCAAACATGATGAAGACGATGAAGGCGATGGTTGTCATTTTGAAATAAAACTGGAGGTCTAAATAGCGCATCCTTGCAGATACGTAACAGATAGCTACTTTTAATGCAGAAGGCACTTCTATTTTTCACCCTTAAATATATTATATACAACAAAGAATGCAGGGGGTGTATTATTCTAAACAGCAGGTACTTCAGGCACTTAAAATATTCTGAACTAGTTGCATTTAACTTACATTTGTGAGTGAATGCCCCTTCTGAAATATTTTGTAGCTGTTTATTACGACTACTTATAACTGTTTCCACCAAAATGGATAGGAAAGTTTCAGTTTAATTTTTATTAAAAGATTTCGAGTTTTATCACGTTGCGTGTTTCTATTCCATCATATGCTCTCTCAGGAGGTTAATTTAATTTGAACTTTCAATAAGTGACACCTCTAACAGGTGTTTTTATGGAGATAAAAGCAATCTATGCATTTATCTCCACAAATTCCTGTTTAAATATGATCTCTTCTCTTTTAAGCCTAAAGCGTTCTCAGTTTAAAATATCACCTTCAAATGAAAGAACAGGTAACTTTAGATGTTGTCGAAGTTATAGGGTCGGCTCCTTAGTTATATTGCTTCACAGCAAGATGTCTTAAGTTCGTTATTGCAAAAATTTCAAGTTTTATTATGTTGCGTGTTTCTATTCCTTCATTTGCTCTCTAAGTAGGTTAAATTGATTTAAACTTTTAATGAATGATACCTCTAAACAGGTGTTTTTATAGAGATGAAAGCAATTTATGCTTTTATCTCCACAAATTCTGGTTTAGTTATGATTCTTTTCTCTTTTAAGCCTAAAGCAGTCTCAGTTTAAACTAACACCTTGAAATGACAGAACAGGCAGTTTTAGACCTTGTCAAAGTTAAAAGGATAGCTTCTTAGTTATATTCTTTCACAGTAAAATATCTTAAGTTCGTAACATTCGTAATAGGTAACTTTAGACCTTGTCAACATTGTAGGGTTGGCTCCTTAGTTATATTCCTTCGCAGCAAAATGTCTTAAGTTCGTAGAGCGTATGACTCATATTTCAAGCCATTTCACAATAAAAATATCATGGCCTGAATTCTGTCGCCCATCCAAGATCTGCGTGAGATCCATTCCTTCCTATTTTTCTCATTTGATCGCTCAGTAAACTGTCATTAACCTTTTTTTTTTTCCTTTTTTCCAAAGTGCTTTCAAAAGTTTTACCACAGCTTTTTTAATAAAATTGACCTATCATTTTAAATTCAACGAAGAGGGATTCGAACTGGTTTCAACGGTACCAAATAGTGCTTAATTATATAATCATCAAATAGAGAAGCCTTGACTGTGCTCTGTTCTGTTTTTAAGCACTTAGGAAGCGGCTAGAGCACGCAAGAAGTATTGTGGGAAACACGAGACGTAGTGGATTCTTTTCTAAAGAATCCGTTAAATTCCCCAGGCATTACTTTCAATTTTCAAAACAAACTTTACTTCCAAAGCGATTATCAGTGTCGTCAGTATGCTCTATACTCTCATAAAGCACGCTCCAATAGGTATATCAGGATACTTGTAAAAAGGGTTCAATAATCTGATTGGTTGAATAAGACGAATCCTGTGATAAGGTAGCCGCGATGGACCTTAGCACGATCGCAGTCGCTCAGACACCGTCGCGTTTGTAAGAACTTTAACAATAATGCCAGTTTGTTTATGTTTTTCATCATTCCTATTTTGTTATGTTTTGTTTTTGAACACGAAACTATAAATACTACACAAGTGTTAGCTTTGTTTGATTTTTAGTACCTTAAGTAATTAAGTTTGCAATCTAACTGAGCGTGAAAAACCTTCAAAACTCGGACTGTCCATTTCACTTTCTCTTGAAGGAGATTCATCTCTGTTCACGTCAGTTAAGGCGCTTGGCATTTTTACAAACCTTTGTTTGGTTCTTCTGTTGCTACTCTCCGGCTCGCTTATTCCAAAATTTCACTTCCAATTAGCGAAAAAAAGCTAGAGAGAGGTCCGAGAAGAGGTTGGACACAATACAATTTGGCAAATGGCGTGACAACCTCAGTTCAGCTCTATGTTTTGTACTCTGATAGAGCACGCTTTTTCAATCAATGACAGCGCGCGTTATATCTGAACTATATATATAAATATATATATATATATATATATATATATATATATATATATATATATATATATATATATATATAAAACTACTTGAAGATTCCCATGCTGTTAATCAGGAGCTGTACAAAAGGAATTCCTCAGAGACTGAGACTCCCCGGTTTTTCCTTCAAATTTGCTTACTGCGTAATAATCGAAAGGAACACAGATGGGTTTGGACCGAACATTTGATAAGTTTCGTCCAAAAGCGAAAGAGTATTATTGAGGATGGAGAAGATTAAAATGGATTGGAAGTATCTAACTTGAAAAATTTAGGGCAAGTATTATAGATACTCATATCATAACAATGCCTCTTTAAAGCATATTTAAAAGACTGAGTCAGGCGGCCTACTCTCACTGCTTGCAAATTAAGATTAAAATAGTCATGACCAAACAATGATTACATTTGCCATTTAATAGCAGCCTTTACGAAGACTTTTTTCAGCGACTTAACTCGAGACTTACGACGTGAATCGAACAAGCATAAAAATGAGAACAAGAATCGACCTTGTCGTGTGATTTTAACATTATTTGTTCGACGTTCACGCAAATGACAAGCTGTAATATTATGCATTCACTGTCTGCTTCTTGACTGTTCATGCAAAATGTTGACGGTTGCCATGAATTGGTGATATTTTCCATTTTTTTTTTAATTTCCTCCTCTCTCGGTATCAATCAATCAGAGGTTGGCTTTCATCTTCTGTGTTGTGATACACGTCAATGCCAAAATAAAAGCTATCTACTATTATTTTCCATAAGACTCAGGTACAAGCTTTGTAATCAAACAGAGAAGGTCTGTCTATCCCTATGTCACTAAAAATGCTGAGTGAACGCGTTTGCTATGTTCAGAAAAGTTTAAGACATCATCTGTGCTACCTAACAGGTACTTCAGTCCAACTCAGGGGACTCGCAGTCTTATGGTCTGTGTTCGAAAGTGCCTCAGCACAAAAATAAGTGCAACGTAAGAGAAACTATTATTCAGCAGCTTAAAAGTCTCGAGGTCTTATTTTCATCTGAGAGCTCTTCAATGAGTAACGAACACCTCGAAAATGTTCCCAAATATTGCCTTCGCCGTGATCAGGGTTAGGCCCATGTATGTAAGGACCATTCAAAAAAGCCTTGTGACACCACTTAAACCACCAGCCACCATGGTACTTAAGGGCACAGTTCCCAGTGGGTTTGAAATCGTTGTCTTCATCCGGAGTAGAAAATGGCCAGCCATGATGGTAAGAGAAGGAGTCACCAGCGGTTCCTGAGAAATTTACCAAAGCAAAAACCAGGAAAGTATTTAAAAGTTATACTGTCTTCAGTGGCGGATCCAGACCTTGAGCTAGCGAAAGGGAGGGAGAGGGGGAGGTTTTCTTTGGCTTTCCCTACCGGCTTTTCTTTCCTCTGCGATTCTTTTGTTATTTTTTTTACCCAAAATAATGAAGAGGAAGGGGCCCTCTCCTAGATCCGCCGGCCGCCACCTATCTTGAAAGAGTAGGTTTAAAGCAAAGGCTGCATATTTGCTATTCCGTATAAATAAGGTTTAAGTTTTTACTCTTCCTTCCGCGCTTATGAAGTCTTTTCTGCATCTACGCTTGTTTGAGCTCGATTTACCACAGAAAATGTGTATATAGCTACCAAAATGGCTTCGAGTACACAATGAAAGTAGGTGGTGGTAAGAAGGAAGTGAGAAATGGAATCAGAAGACGAGACCGGCAGGGTTAATAACATATCTTAATTATACTCCTCTAAGGACCAGAACCCTTCAAGCACTATTTTATCAACAAAAGGCTGGGAAAAGGGAAAAAAAGAGAGATCTCCTCGAGATTATCTAAATCGTTTACTAAATGATTAACCATGATTGTATTTTGTTTTACGTGAATAGTACTTAGTACTATAGCTTAGTATTTTCTTAGCTTCCTTAACGATGTTCTCTTATTTAAGTACTGTAGTAAGATTTCCGTCTTTGTTTGTGCTGAAATTGTTGCTGTTAGCTTTTTTGCACAATGTGCGTTGAAATGAATTTAGTCACCTGCTGTGTTATAAGAACCAAGGATCAACTGGTACTTGTCATGTTCACTCCTGACACCAAACAAGCTGTATTCAGCATAAGCACTTCCCCCTTCGAAGTCCTCCATGTCTACTCGTAGCATGCTGTTATTATCTGAAGTCAGTCGATGAATCCTTTCTAAGCCAAGCCAAAATTCGCCACTGAGATTTCCGAAACCATGCTTATAGTTGCTCCAGTTGAGGTTGAAGTCAACGGAACCGTCGATTCTTTTCTGGAATACCGTCCATCCTCCACCAGCTGTTGTTTGGTCGCAGAAGACATCAAAAGCTGATCGGTCGTCAGGTTTGATGACGTACACACCGTCTCTTTTTTGGCCTGATTTAAAGATGTCAGCGCAATTTCTGAAAGCTAGAATAATAAAAAATTTTAAAAGTTGAAAAAAAAAACTAATCGTGTATATTATGTAGCAAACAACAAGGTATTTACTGGATTAGAACAGTATCTAAACTGATGAGAGTAATGAAAGAAATTAGTAAATTAGGACACAGAAGTGTTTTCCAAACGATATCGATACGAAAGAATTGTAGTTAAAAAAAAGGTCATGAAAAAGATAACCAGAATAAAAAAACTTAGGCAGGAAAGGAGACACACCTTACTTAAGATAAGATAATTAAATGGAAAATATAAGAAATGACTTAGGTTTCGCTTTAACGCAGAGCTAACGCACGAAACGTCAGCTTTAAAACTCTTTACGGTGGCCAACTTTTACGTTATCAACTCAGGTGATAATACTTTATTACCCTGTTATACTATCCATCCGACGCAGCACAACAGTCTCTATAAAACTTACTCCATTTATTCATTAGATTTCAAAGAGTTTATGTTGCAATTTT